TGGCTTAACATTTCTGTTTTGGTACTAAACTCTCCAATAATTCTGTTTTCTAGGGATGAAACTGCTTCTCATGGTTGCATTGTATGCATTCTCCTCAGATTTGAAAGAAAAGAGGGCAGTCTGCACAGGTAGTGTGGGACTAGCTCTTCAAAATAAAAATGACAGTGAAACTGTACAGTAGGAGGGTAAATTTAACTATATAACAGTACAAGAATTTTTATTCTTATTTTAACTCATTTTATCTCCGCATTTAAAAGCATCTACTCCTGCTTTTTTTAATTTCAGAAAATATAATTTTAAATAATGTGTGTAATTGCAAAAAGTACAGTTCACTGTTTTTTGATTTATCTTTTTCTCCTTAATTAGTATTTCAGCATACTGGGAACATAAACGCCCTTAGCTCTGATATGGTCAGAATAACTAAGGTATTTTCAGTTTAGTTTCAAGTGTAAATACTCTGTTTCCTAGTCTAGCAAGAGCTAATTAGTGCTACACACAGACTGAAGAATCTTTATTGTGTAATCTCACTGATGTAGTGAGCACTTGCACTGAAAGAAGGTAATCAAGAGGACTGTTTGAGGTCAGTCCCATTAAATGTCCAAGATGACAAGAACCAGAGTGTCTGTGGTCATTTGTATTCTTTCTACATAGTTCATACTCATGGAACACATAAACACAGGTATATCAACTGTATGGTTAGACATAAATAGAACGCCTTTACTTCAAACAAGGAAAATGAACCTATTCATACGGCATATTTTTACCCATTTTTATTTTAAGTTGCTCTGGAACTATATTCCCTCTATCAAGTCAGGCCTTTTGACAGCCAGTACCTACACCCCAACAACTCAGAGCCTGAGGTTTTGCCCTTATAGGTGCACTACTGCATCAGTATCTTATACGTATATCCTTATACGAATATAAGAAAATACAAAGTTTACGCTGTTGAGTGAGACCTCTGCAAGATATAAACCCTTTGCAGTACTAGTTCCAAAATTTAACTTTCTGAGAGAAGTAGTATTCTGTCTCATCAAGAGATCTTATATAGACAAAACTCTTTTTCTTAACCACTTGGTTTTCCATTTCTGATTCCCCAAATTTAGGGATTCCAGTGAAAGCTGGAAAGAGAAGAGAAACTTGAAAAGCTGTACATACATAGTCTTGTTTGAACTGTCCTGTGAAGGTACATTGCTAAAAACATCATAGAATGTAATTAATGGATCTGTGATTTGTTATAGATGAAAATCCTTACTGTGACTTATCAGCAGTTGTTCTTGCAGAATTACAAGTTCCTGAAACCCTCATCCTAAGCATTTTTTTGCCTAACATCTATAAAGCTTGTCATGAAGCCATATGCTGCATTAAATAGTGCTGGAAACTTCCAGTGTTACATAGAAACTAATTTCCAAATTTTGGTCCACAGGGATTCTACCAGTCTCAGCTGGAACTTCTTTAAACAAAAACCTGGCTTTTGTGACTGAAAGCTCTGATTTAGTTATTTTGTCTACAAAAAAGCAGATTGGTTAAGTAAAAAAAAAAGCTTTAGTAAATGAAGGTTATATGTATTTTTTAATTTCTCTCCACTGAAGTAATACCAGTCACATTTTTTGTTTAGAAAGGTGTAGATGTAGGAACATTAAAAAAAAATCCCTCCCCTTTCCTGCATCTTATCTCTGTTTTCCCTGGCTTTGAAGATTTTGTAATTTCACAGTCACATATTAGTTTCCTTCCTCTGAGGGTGTTTTCCTGTATTTTGTGTGATTATTTGTTTGATCTGATGCAATACATTATTTCTCTGAGTCTGCAGCTTTGAGAATTTTTTGCATCTTCCTGTGGGAACCCTTCTCATGTTTTCTGGGTGGTCATAGGTTGCATAAAGTCACATTCTGCACTTATTGAGACTTCCAGTGATGATTCTTTATTTCAATAATGTCAATAAAAAAGAAACATGCCAACAGAAAAAACATTTGTATTTTCAGTGCTAGCCTAGTGTGTAGAAATCTTTGAAAACTGTTACAGCCTCTGGAAGTTTTTGGTGCTTACTGATCAAGGTAAGTTCATTCTAGGCTGTTTATCCTCAGACCAGAGGAATACAGAAAAGTGAAAGGGAAATGATTTCCTTCTCCAAAAACAGTATCGGGATGTGGGAACATTTCTGCAAGCAAACGTATTCCTACTGTATTGTTAGACTACCTCAAGAGAACTGGTTTTGTTCTTCCAGCATGTTAGCTATTGTTTTCTGGTTTGTTTTCTATTTTTTTGGCAGTACAGTCCTGTTTCCAGCCTGCAGTTACTGTCAAACAGACATTAAATCCTTTTATGTTCTTGATTTTTTTACAGAGCCAGACAAAAACCTATTCTGCTGCACACTCTGAAACCTCCCTTATGCAGCAGCATTTCTAAGGGTCCATAATATATATAGTGCTGTATAAACACAAGGAGGTATGCACCTACCTCTACCTCTAAACCAGACATATGAAAGCTCAGTTTAGGATTAACCATTTTGATAATACTTTTTTCTTCATGTACATCTTCAGCTCTTTTCAAATAAATATCAGCAATGGTTACTCTGTCTCATTTAAAAATCACTCTTTTTAGGTGTAATACGTAAGTACAAAAATTAACACCTAGGCTGAATAGGAGGAAACATAGATAGCAATGGATATTTCTTACATAAAAGAAATGTTTATTTGGGGACTTAATATCAGTGTTGGTTAACAATGTAAAGATTTCGGAGACAGTACATAAGGGCTGAACTGTCATGTCACCACTTACCATGGTGAATGGGATGAAGTCCAGTTAGTGGCCGGTCACTAATGGTGTTCCCCAGGACTCAGGATGGGGGCTGATCCTGTTTTAACATCTTTATCAATGATTTGGATAAGGGGATTGAGTGCACCCTCAGTAAGTTCACAGACGACACCAAGTCAGGCAGGAGTGCTGAACTGCTGGAGGGTAGAAATAGTTTGTAGACGTGTCTGGACAGGCTGGATCGATGAGCTGAGGACAATTGCATGAGATTCAATAAAGCGAAGTGCCAGGTCCTACACTTGGGTCACAACAACCCCAGGCAGCACTACAGGCTGGGAAAGAGTGGCTGGAAAGCTGCCTGGTGGAAAAGGCCCTGGAGGTGCTGGTTGACAGCAGCTGTACATGATCCAGCAGTGTGCCCAGGTGGCCAAGGAGGCCAATGTCATCGTGGCCTGTATCAGCAATAGTGTGGCCAGCAGGACCAGGGAAGGGATTGTCCCCCTGTACTCAGCACTGGTGAGGCCCCACCTTGAATCTTGTGTTCAGTTCTGGGCCTCTCACTACAAGAAAGACATGGAGGTGCTGGAGTAAATCTGGAGAAGGGCAATGGATCTGGTGAAGGGTCTGGAGCACAAGGCATATGAGGAGCGGCTGAGGGACCTGAGGTTATTTAACGTGGAGAAAAGGAAGCTGAGAGGGAACCTTACTGCTCTACAACTACCTAAAAAGAGGCTGCAGTGAGGCAAAGGTTGGTCTCTTCTTCCATGTCTCAAGTGAAAGGACAAGAAGAAATGGCCTTATGTTTTGTGAGGGAAGGTTCAGATTGGATATTGGAATTTTTTTTTCACTGAAAGAATGGTTAGACATTGGAATAAATTGCTGATGGAGGTGGTAGAGTAACCATCTCTGGAAACGTTGAAGTGGCCTCTGGAAGCGGCACTTGGGATATGGTTTAGGGGTGATTATGGTCATTCTAGGTTGATGTTTGATCTAGATGGTCTTTGAGGTCTCTTACGACCTTGATGATTCTGTGATTCTGTCATTTAGGTAGGTTTTGAAGGGGTTAGTGCTGACATATTTAGACAGTTCATCCCATCTACTTTATGTGCCTAATTTAAGACAGAGTGCTGTACCGTCAGAAAACAGGTGTCTCTCTGTTGATCAGAGTGATGACTGCTTTCACCTTGACATGTAACTTCTGGGTGGATTGTATTAAGTGCGTTGAATCCAGCTTTGATTGATCTGCTTTGCCTGGGCTTGACTGCAGTTAAAATTATGTAAATTTTCTTGCTTCAAGAAATGTTTGTTAGGTATGAATGTTGGAGCAGTCATAAGGTCTTTGTTAGTTGGTCAGATTGCTTCACTGTATCTCAATTCTTATTTTTCGTATTATAAAACAGTTGGTCCTGAAAATCCTAGGCACACAATGAAAACCAACAAATATCATTAGAAACAAGAAGATTGGTAATATTCATTCTACATAAATCCCATTTTGGTGGTGAATTCTTTAGAGTTGTTGGGTGGGTTTTCTTTCTTTCTTGTTTTTTAGTCCAATAAGGGATTTTTTCATCATAGCTTATAATATGAATAGTTACCAGTTAACAACCTGGGGAAGAGAACACACATACAGATTATATGGTAGTTAATTTTGGTCCTTGAAAATACTGGCATGTCACCCAGATAGTGAGAGGGCCCATCTTGTGTGTCAGGGGAGACAGGGAAAATCAGGGAACAGTTCTTGTTCAGATTCAGTCTGAGACCGGGAAAGGTTTTTAAAGGGCATTCTGTATCATGGAAACTTCCCTGTATTGTCTTGGGCTTTGAACACATTAACAGAAGTACAAGTCTTTCAAGCATATTGATTTTGACCACCTGTATTTTGTAAAGGAAGGTACTTCAATATGGTACTTTAACTTTCATTAAAAATATTAGTATAACAAAACCATGTATCTAGAGTTAACTGTTTCTTGCTCAGTAAGAAGAGAAAGATACTGGTAAAGCCTATTGAGCTAACATCCTACATTTTCCAAAATACTACACTTAGTGTATAAACGTACCTGGATTCTGATTGAAGTTGGGTTCTGAGACAAGGATCAGTTTTGAATGGTGTTGTTGATCTGTTCTTGTTTGTTTTTTTTAACTTATAACCCAGCTGTCAGGAAGTGTAGTGAGACCTAGAAAATTCTCCAAATGACCTCATATCATACGTAAGAAAAGCACTGTCTTAATCTTCTGATGTTTTATTCCAGAGTGGCCAAAGTAATGAAGGTTCCTGTGTATGAGACACCAGCAGGATGGAGATACTTCTCCAATCTCATGGACTCTGGACGTTGTTCACTTTGTGGAGAGGAGAGTTTTGGCACTGGTAAGTAATACGTACTCTAAAATTGCCACAGACTTTTATTGACAACTTTTAATTTTCTGGATGCCTCAAGTCAAACCCAAAATAATCAACGAAGTAACTGTTTTGTGCTGGAACTGTTTTGTGCTGGAGAACTGTCTGTTGTTCACATTTTGAGGGTCATCTTTCAACTGTGGTGTCCATCACCTCCACCAGAGGTGTGAAAAATGTAGAAGACAGATGTTCAGAAGTGACAGGCAAACTTATTACTGTGCAGACAGCTTTTGGAGGTGCCTGGCACTCTCTTCTGACTTGAACATAATGCAGAGAGGTTTCACTGGTTCCACTGTAATAGTCTTTTCACAGACTGCAACAGCATTTGGAGGGATTTTGCCCATATGGAAACCACGTGGTTTTTCCTAATGTGATTAGGTATACAAAGTATGAGGATTGGTATTTCCAATGGTGTGTCTAAACAAACCTGTTACAGGCAACCCTTTTTGAAACATCACAATTACTCAAACCTCAGATAAAATCATCATTAGAAGAAGTTCAGTTACGTATTACCATCTCTGTTTTCCCTGGGTATTTCTCCCTTATCTGTCACAAGAACCAGTCAAGCAACAGAATGCAGAATGAACAACAAATTTGAGTCATCAGAAATATAGTGCTGACAGGAAGCATTAGAGCAGACAATTAAAATATGTAGTCTGTAAATCTGCACAAATATGGCTTTAGTTTATGAGAAAAACTGAATAAGTTTCAGAATGGGTCTTTTTTTTCTTTTGCTGGATTCTGGCACAGGATCATGTACCAGAATAACTTAACCATATACGTGATTAATAGTTTATTCTATATTTTGATGTGAGTTCCATGGAGTTCTTTATTTTGAATGTGAAATTCTTTGGCTGCAGCTTTTTGTAGAAAATTATTTACCATGCAGTGAAACTTGTTACATTTTTCTCTAATTGAGTTAAGTCAAGTATTCGGTTTGTTGGTTGAGGTCAATTAGAGCAGAATACTACTTCTTTAAAAATGAGGATACCTTTAATCCATAGACATGCCACTCTATGTGTCGTTTACTGTATAGATCTGAATGGACTATGATGGAAGAACCAAAAATATGTTAGATTTCTTTAGATGTCTGTAAGTAAGAAGGAAGAGAATTTAAATTAATAATGAATGTTAATTTTCTTTTTGTTGTGAATGGTAACCAATGTCCCATGATTAGCAACCTGGATGCCTTGACTAATCGCTGTGAGTGGCACAGGTTTGTATTGCCTTGAAGTATCTTTTGAATAGATACTTTCTCTACAGGGTGTTCTGCAAGGTCACTGAATGATTTTTTATTTGAAGAGAAGGGTAGGAAGATCTTGACCTGTCAGAATATACTGCTATTTGTTGTGGTGTGTTGTTGAACTCTGCCTCTATTTGCCCATGAGAGGTGTGAACTGGGAGTTTTCAACTCTCACTGCTTTTTGATGCTTTTTCACCAGGCCAGTTCTGTACCTCTTCCCTCTAAATATTTGAAGTTCCTCCTGCTCTTGCAAAACCAGATACTTTCGCGAAACTTCAGTGGGTTTAGAGGCACCAGTATGACCTCATTAGCACCCCAATTATTTTGAAAAAATATCCTACCGTTAACATCATACTGAAGAAAGGGAAGTGTGGGTTTTAACTGGAAGGAACTTGTATGAGTTTTGATGGTGAGTTCCCATAGGCTGAAGTACATCTAGATACCTTAGCCCACAGAGTGCAGCATATCCTGCTTCTTCATGCAGGTTTGTCTGTAGAGGTATGTGAAACAAACAGGGGGGTTGAGATCTTGATCTACTGAAAAGTGAGGACATTGTGATCTGTACTGGCTAAGTTTATTATCCTCAGTATCCGATAGTGGTTTAATTTGGGAAGGGAAACACTCATGGAGGTCAAGGAGGGGCATCTGGGGTTTGTCTGTTCCAGATAGGCAATAAAATTCCCCTAACTTCTCTCTGTTCTTGCCCTTGACTTTTTCCTTTGCTTGTATCTTTCTGCAGGGCCCTAAAACAATTGCATTTTGTACTATAGCCTCTCTTCCAAATTTGCAGCTCCTGTCTCCTGATCTCAGACCAGTCTCTGCATTCCTAGCACTCTCTGTATTCTTGTATTAATCTGGTGCTCCTATCCTGTCGTTAATTCCTCAGATTACTGATAAACCCTGTCTCTTGTGAATTCTAAGGGTGCTTGAACAACGTATTGCTGCCAGCATGGAGAGCTGTTCTACAGCACTGTCTCTGCATCGCAGTATGTTCTTGTCAGGTGAACTTTATTGTACCTGCAGCACTTCAGTGCAGAAAGCCTTTTGACCTCCAATTTAATCCAATTCCATCTAAGGGCAAATCTGGACCCTCAAGATTCAATCCCATGGGCATCCAGAGAACTTGAGCATGGGGTTTAAATTCTTCAGTGCATGTGTAGTTGCTGTGTAAAAAACACAGATGACAGGAAGAGAGTTCCTCAAGAGGTTGTGGAGTCTCCCTCACTGGAGACATTCAAGAACTGTCTGGATGCAATCCTCTACCATTTGCTCTAGGATGACCCTGCTTGAACAAGGAGATTGGATCAGATGCCCTACTGTGGTCCCTTGCAATCTTACCCATTCTGTGACTATGTGACTATGTGATACTTACATAGGCAATTATGCAACGATTATGATGCCTAAAGTTTGTTTTTCTCCCTGGCTCATTTTCCTTATCATCTTTCAGTTCAATGCAGCTGTCTGAAATGTGTCCTCATATGCCAGCAGGTTTATTAGTAAAACATAGTCTGTTTTGTAGATGACCAATACTTTAGCAATGTGAGCTATTTTTGGCAGCAAATATTTACCTCATTGCGAATCTTTTAATAATGTCCTAAGCTGTGTGACCCTCACAAGTTTCTGCCAGTATTGGGCATTTGAATCAATTTCACAGCTTCTGCTCAATCATATCTATTTAGGGAGTTGAAACTTGGCAGTTCTTCAGCTTTCAGCATGGAGTATTTATATAAATGTACCATATAGTGATCAGAGTGGGAAACTTGGTGCTCTGGGCAAGAGGAAGGAGTTTTAAAAAATCCGCATTCTATCATCAAACTGCATTGGAAAGCGATTGCTTGTGTACCCAGGTAATTTAGCTCAGCTGGTATTTCCAAGTAATGCAGAGCCCTGGTTTTATAACACAAGGGACTTTGCTCCGACAAGTAAATAAAAGCAAATTTTCTACTATAAAAGGACAAAAGATTTTGAAAACATCTCATAGAGCTGTGTTTCCCAAACTTGTTTTCTGGCAGCTGATCTTGGAACTCAACCAGTGCTTTAAAAACTTCTTCCATTTTTGTAGCAGTGTGGGGACCTTGTCAGATAAAGTTAGTAGCTTTCTGGTTCTATGACTAATGCCCAGCATACAGTTCAAAGAGGGGCATGAGTAGCAGCAATTAGTTTCTCAATTTCATCAGAAAACTATTAATCAGGATTAGGAGAGCTGATTTATCTCTCTGCAGTTTAAGCCACTTCAGTAATTGCTACAACTTCTATAAATTTGCTTGCTTCGTTCCAAATTTCCAGATTCTATTAACATCAGCCACCTTTCCCTGAAAGATTATGCAGAAGAAGAACTAGTGGGGAATATAATTACGTGCTGTTGCTAAAATGAATGAAAGCCTCCAAAGAGCTCTTTGGTATCTGTTACAGTAACCCAAATCTAAAATAATCTCATTAACTTGAATAAAAGAAAAGATCAGAATGCTCCTAAAGTTTCATTTGCCTAAAATATCAAGTTTCAAATTGCTGGAAATTGAAGGACTCAAAGTGTGTGCAAACAACATTATTTACTGTGTGTTTGTGTACTCCTGTGATTTTCCTTGTTTTAAAGTCACATTTATAAAATGCAATATGCTAGACAGTGACGACTAAGTTAGGGAAAAGCAATTACATTTTATTTGTGCATATGGCTGGCCCTCAAGGCTTGCTGTCCCTATCAGAATTGGATATCTCAGATATCTAAGTTAGATGTAAAAGCCAGCATATATGGCCAACAGCTGTCAAAGAGCAGAAAAATCATAATATGAACATATTTGCATGAACTTACTTTGTTTCTCAAGCTACTACCTCTGAAAACTTTTTTTCTGTTTAAGCCTGTGTAAGCTGAGTACTTCTTTATGAATGGTAACATGCTCTGAGAATTTTTCCCAGGTTGTTCACTCTGAGTCTGGACATAGCAATTGACTGTTGCAGCAGTAAAAAATAACTTTTGCTTTGTTATATGGAGAAATAACAGATTAACTTAAAAATAAATTGTTGAAACAGGTATTACAGGTATTATAATTTCCCTGAACAATGACAAATTACATGTAATAGTTAAATCAGAAAAATGAATGGTTGACTCCTCTGTTTTTCCTTTTTACTTCAGCTCATTAAACACAATTCATTAAATCTGTGGATGTTTCAATTAAAAGTAGCACTGAGAATCATACTGATACTGAGACCCTTCAGCAAGTTGGGAGGGATATTACTGTTTGGATTTCAGGAATACATAGTTGCAAGGCACCTCCTTGTTCCCTTCGCGCAGGTCAGGTCTACCTCTGCAGATCCACTGGATCTATAAAGCACAGAATGGTGTTAGCTGAACTGAGACAGAGGAACAGACAACTGTATGAAAGGTGAAAATCAGAGTTGACTAATAGCATTGCAGTAATAGATTTTAATTTGCTAAAAGAAGGAAGGGCAATGATTACAACAGCATATGTGCATACAGTAACACAGTTGATGGATGTGGTAGTGAAATAAAAGAGGGGGAATAAACTAGTGCTGAGAAATCCCAGCTGTCAATTTTCCTTCTGTTAAGACTGATGAACTGAGACACTTCCTGGGCACACATACTATGCTCATGTCAAGCTAGCATTTTTAATTGGTGACTTTTGATTCTGAAACACCTGGGTTGTTTCCAGCTTTTCCATCCAGACTTTTGCCTTTGGATCACTTTCTCCCAATCCTTTCTCTTTCCAGAGAAGCAACAATTTATGTCCTCCTGAAGGACATGCAAGGACAGACCACATGCCAAAGCTCCTAAATTGATTAGAAGAATATTATGTGTATACTTTCAGCCCTCCTCATATAGATTTATGAACTTAAGCCATGTCAGAACAAAGTTCAGAGATACACAGTAGTGTAGATTCATAGTAGAGAGCCTTCCAGAAATGCTCCTGCCCATGTTTCATTGGAACGTTTAGGTTCAGTGAAACATATTCAAAGTGTTTGTTAAATCCAAATGCATTTCTTTGGTGTTCAGCTCAGCCCGTTGCTCAGTGGTCATGATGTATAGACCATTTTGCTGAATGACTGCTGTGCCTTTCACCGTATGATTTGCTGGCCTGCAGTCTGCAGAGTGTTACACAACGGGAGAATAAATGGTCATTTACCTTGGAACAAGTTGCTAAGGGGTTAAGCTTAGTGCCATGTCTCCACTTCTTGCTGGTGTCTGTTGAGACACTTAAGCCGTTTAAGTGGCTGGTGATACCAGCAACAGAGATGACTTTTTAGGTGAAACGGAATTTTTCAGTGCTAAGGATGAATGGCTGAAAGGAGAGGCAGGCAGGTTAAGAAGGAAAAGAACAACCATGGTGGGGTGAGCTTGCTGGGTGACCTTGCTGTTACCAGTGTCCTGCCTGGCCCCCTGGGGCTCCTCCACTGCCCAGGAGCAGCACCCAGGCTGTCAACCCCAACTCCAGCAATGCTGCAACAGGGCCAGTCTCCAGCTCCCCACAGCCCTGCCATGCCTGCCTAAGGCCCTCCCCAAGCCAGGCCTGCCCATGGCCCCACATCCTGGCCTGGCCTTGCCCTATCCCCATCTCCAGGGATGTGCCTGATGCCCAGGGCTGGGGTTTGCCCTGGTGCACCTGGCTGCCCTGCTCCTGGAGCAGCAGGATGGGCCCTGGCTACTCCTGCCCTGCTGGCCTAGGGGAGCCTCCGGTGCTCCCAGTCCCCTGAGTGTCCCCAGCCCCTTGGGTGACCTGATGACTTTTCCTGCTGTTACCAGAAGAACGATGTATATGCTGAGGGGGAATTGACAGTTCTCTTCTAGATTTCTCTTTTGGTGGCAGGGGCAGAAGCCTGTACCATTATCTTGGATATGGTACTAAGGACTGTGACTGTGCTGTCTGCTTTGCCTATAAGGAAGCTGACTTTATTATCCACAGGACATACTGCTGGTGTTCGTGTAGAAGGTATCTTTAAGCTGATCTAGCATGTTACTGCAAGGAGGTAGAAGAAAAGGTGAGGGATGACCTTTAAGGTCCCTTCCAATCCTTCCTTGATTCTATGACCTGACTGTCTGAAGGACTGACTTCCTGTAGAGGGACATTTGTTTTCCATTCTTATCTGAAGCTATTTGCAAAGCTTTGGGAGCTCATAAATAACACTGCCCTTTTTCTTCTGATTGTTTGGCACTCCGTGCCTTCACAGCAGGCAGGGCTCACAAGCAGGGAACAAAGTGAGCTGTGGCTCCTCCTACAGCAGCTTCTCGAGGATCAGCCCTGAACTCTGGCTGTTGCAGTAGGAGACTGCTGTTGTTCCAGAGAGCTCCCAGATTACAGTTCAAGACAGATAAAAAGTAGCACAAAGGAGGTGCTCTTACTATCATGACAGCCACTTTGCAAATGCAAAGGAACGTTACTGTCTCAGCTCTTAAATCTTAAATGCCCTTTTCTGTAACACCTAACACATAGACACAAACATAATTTATCTTCATGAAAGTCTTTCTCCATGTTACAAGTGTTCAGTAACCATTCCCATACAACTTGGATATAATGCTGAATAGAAATTTGCATTTATTTAAGTGGATAATGTTAGATTCAGGGTGTTGAGGTTGAATGTAACACAAGAAGTGCAAGTGCCAGTCAGAGCTGTGGCAGACCCAGGACAACAAGCTCTTAGCAAAACCATATGAGTAGGGACTGCTGTTCTGGTTGTTGATCTCTCCTAAAAAGTGGGACTGCAGGTTCAAGGCATCAGGAGTGACTGGAAGACTGAACCCAAAGAATCACCCTGTGGCTCTCTGCATGTCTTGTTATTTTCCTTATATACCTTTAATATGTTAACAGTTTTTCACAGGTTTAGCAGCTTCAGGGAATCAATTTACATTATGGGAACTATGTCCTCTGCCAGTAGCAAAACGCAGCTGACTGTGTGGACCTTGCAGGCTGTTATGTAAAACCACAGCACTGCAAAGCAGTCTTGCTGCAATAGGATTTTTGTGTTTGAGGAAGGAGGATACTTCAGAAAACAGGTTTTCAACCTAAAACTGTTTAGATTCCTCTCTGGAGGATTTTGCTAAGTATCTTCTGATGACACAGACAGTTCAACTAGTTGCCTCTATAAACAGTAGTTAATTAATGGAGAAAAAAAATGGAGAAAACGTCTGAATTATTGCACTTGCTTTGTACTCAGGATTTCAATAATGTGCATCTAGACAGAAAACCATAAGGTTGCAGCTAACAAACTTCAGCCAAATCTAGTATATTATGCCAGAGCAGTGGCCACATATTTGATCTCTCTTCAATTTTCATTAGTCTATGAGCTTATATAATTGTCTTCTGAATTACTACTGAATGTCAGGGATCTTGGATCTTAATTGGATCTGAGACTATATGCTAAATCCTATGGGATATTGCAGAATTGTTGCTGGTCTTCATTGTTGGAATAACTTCTCCTGAAATATAAACCTAGCAAGGGGTTTAGATCTGGGCATCCAAACATCTTTAGATGGTATAGAGAAATGTAGAAAGGAGAAAAAGTGCCATTCTCTGGTTTGCTTTGGGGTTTTTTTTGCCAGAAAAATCTTTTCAAGCTCTTGGATTTTGTCCTGATAGGAGATCATGAACATTATGAAAATTCTTTCACTGCAGCTTGACAGATGAACATCTGCAGAGATAAGAAGATGCTGTTCAACATGACTCTGAACACAGAACGTTCTGGTTCATGGCTAGGTTTGCATATCTAGCCCCATTCTGGAAAACAGTAGCAGAGGTGAAAACACCCTTCAGTGAGCAGGAATCATGGCTAAAATTGTTTTCCTACTACTACTGTTTCTTTTCAAATACTTGTACATATTTTTATTTAACCTGAGAAATACGAATTTTGTCATGTATTAATAAATCATATTTTAAACTTCATTTCTGATTGTCTGACTGGAATATATTAGAGGTGCTGAGATTAGTACTATCGATGACTGTTATGTGACATACAGAGTTAAATTAGACATCTGCCCAGCTTCCTTACCTTGTTTTCTGATTTGTAGTGATACCAAATAATGCACTTTATGTCTGTCTCTTTAGGGTCTGATCACCTTCGAGAGAAAGATGGACTGTGGGCTGTGCTAGTTTGGCTTTCAATCCTAGCAGCCCGAAAGCAGAGTGTGGAGGAGATTGTCAGGGATCACTGGGCAAAATTTGGCCGGCACTACTACTGCAGGTGAGAAAAATGAGGAAAAGGCTCAGGAACTTATGCAGTTGATGATAGGAGAATTCTGCTACAGTCATTGTTTGTTTAGATATGCTCAGCTGCACTTAGGTGTGCATTTGCTGAATGAAAATCTGCCATGGATTATCACTGTTCTGTAGGCAGGTTTTTCCTGATGAGTAAGTGGCAGAAGAAAGAGCAGCATATATATGTTGCTGCTAGTATATGAGTAATTGAATTTTCTGATATTGAATGGCAGAAAGATTTTAATTATTTACTTGTGAAATATGTAGGTGTAGCTTGTTACATGACATTGAAAAAGAATCAATCCCAGTAACATTTACTCCTACATTTTTTTCTGCCAGTGCTTCCATATGACAATGTTTTAGTGAAAACTGAAACTATGCCTACTTTCAATTTAGGATAATTCCTCCAAGGATCCAAACATTTACTTATTTTTATTAAGGTCTCAAAATGGTGAATTCTAGCTGTCTTTTGCATTTTGGCTTCTGCCCCTCTCTTAATCCAGACTTAATACAGAGGAGCTTGAAATTTGTAAGGTTTTTTGCATGTAGCTGTTCCTCAAAACTTGTAGAAAAGTTTTCTCTATCTCCCTTGTCTGTTGAGCACTGTACTGTGTCCTTAATTATGGAAAGCTAGCTGTGTATCAGTGATGTTTTCTATGTTACTTTAGAAACTATGCATTTTCTAAATTATTTCTGTTGACTCAGAGTCAGGTGGCCAGTGCAGAACTGTGCTGCACACATGTAATAGTCAGATTGCACAGGACTTGCACCTGTGTACTGGTTTAATTTGCAATCAGTACTTCATTGGTCCACCTCTGATTTTTGAAGTGAGCAATAAATTGCTAATTTTGAGTGTATAGAGTTCTGTGAAAGCAGAACTGTCTTCTCTGGGGCTCTGAGGACTTACTTCTTGGTTCTGCCTTTTTTTGATATATATGCAAGGTTTGATTATGAAGCGCTGGAACCCAGAACAGCATATTTCATAATGAGAGACCTGGAAGCTTTGATCACTGACAAATCATTCAGCCATCAGCAGTTTGCTGTGGGTAACAATATCTACAGTGTGGAAAGAACAGACAGCTTTGAGTTCGTAGATCCTGTGGATGGCACTGTGACCAAAAGACAGGTATGGCTGTAGTGATGGAGTAACAAGGTTTCGCAGTTGTCACGTTGTCTCCAACAGTGTTGTTTCTAAAGTTCAGCTGGGAAGACTGTCCATTTATTTATAGGATGATGTTTTCTTTGCTTTGCTAGATACTGCATTTTCTACTTAAGATTAGCTTGGTCTGGATAAGATAATCCACCTCTGGTTTAGCTTGCACTTGCTGTACATAATTGGAGACAGTAGCGTCACAGTGAACATAGGATGGGATGAAGTCTCTGTTGACAGCAATGCATGTATAGGGAGGGTTCCCTTTCCAGAACAGTGGAAAATGTCATATAAAAAGAAGATCTTTCCTTTTTCTATTTTCTGTCTATATGCATGTATTACAAAAAAAGTTAGAATTTTCTTGTTCTTGGTGAACCACAGGATTTACATAATTAAGGTAAAATATCTATTGTAGTCAATAGCATGCAGAGGACTTTAGTAGATTGTACCCTCGGTGGGCACAATTGACTTTTCTAGTCCAAATCACCAGTTCCTTCTGGGCTCTGCCTACACTGGATTCCTTAGCTATCAAGAACTGCAGTTCAAACTGAGCCTTCAGTGTTTTGAAACTCATTATGTGCTCAAGAGTACCCATGCACTTTTGCCAAGTGTAAATGTATATTCAAGTATCTTGAATATGAGCTATGACTCATATTAAAATTTGTCCTGATTTTATGTTATTTATATTTTTTGTCCTGGTTTCTCTGTTTTTTTAATTACTTGACCTCACCAGACCCTAGCAAATGATATTACAAGCCATTAAAACTGTTGTCATGCCATTCTGCTGAAAGTCTTTATAATTTACATTCATTGTTGCATCCAGAAAACATAAGCAGCCCATCTGCCACTGAGCTACTCTCTGTGTGTATTACTATTGAAACAAGATATGAGAATATTGTCATATCCAAGTCCAGTGGAAAATTATAGGCATGGCAGACTTGTGACCTGTGTACTTTAAAAAAACAGCTTGTGGATTTTCATTGCACTTTTTTTTCCCTTAATTTTCATCTATATTGGAATATAATTGCTAATTCAGGTCACTGTGTAACACAGAGAAACATGACTTGGCCTGTTTTCAGATGGACTCTGAAAAGGAGACCATAAAATCAGAAAGCATGTTTTGTCACAGGGAGAAGCTCTTGATTATTCAGAGTACAGTTCATCCAGGTTTGCCTTTTGGCAAGGACACATTCCTAGCTCCATGTGTCTGCAGCCTCAGTGGGATTCTCCAAGCACGATAAAATAGGAGAGGACGTTGATCCATGCCAATGAAACAAGAGTTCACTGCTACCATTCTCCTCAGGTAGTTTGCTCATCCTCTAAATGCAGATGCCTCTTCCAGACTATCCTAAGCTTCGTGTGGATTTTCCAGCTATGTGTGCAGGAACTTGTTCCAAGTTTTGTTCCCTGGTAGGTAGGCGAGAGCACTTTATATTCAGTGAATGAAAAGCTGGCTACATGCTAATTAATCAGTGTTAATAAACTACATATTCAGAAAACAAATACAGCAACAAGAAAATAGGCCGCAAAAGTACACTAAGATTGTAGCTTCTAATTAATTTTGTCTGTTGAAACACAGGAATATCACAGTGCAGTAATAAGGCATAACATTAAATTAAACATTTTGCTGCTCTTGAAGACTGTTTTTATTTTTATTTTAAGTGCTGTTGTGCTAGCTTTTGCGAACACAAGCACATAACAATGCTGCTCCTGAGGATCCGGCAAGCCAGGGATGGGACCAGTTGCACTTTTGTGTGAAATTTGAATTATAAGGATGAAAGGTACAAGTTGCCCATTCACTAAGAGACAGAAGGCTCCAGGGAGACCTTATTGTGGCCTTTCAGTACTTAAAGGGGGCTTGTAAGAAACGTGGGGACAATCTTTTTAGCAGAGCCTGTTGCAACAGGACAAGTAGTAATGGCTTTAAACTAAAAAAGTAGACTCAGACTAGGTATAAGGAAGACTTTTTTTTTTAGTGAGGGTGGTGAAACACTGGAATAGGTTGCCCAGATTGGTGGTGGGTGCCCCATCCCTAGAAACATTAAAGATCAGTTTGGATGGCACTCTGAGCAACCAGATCTTGTTGAAGATGCTTCTGATCATTGCAGGGGGATTGGATGGGATGACCTTTAAAGGTCCTTCCAATCTAAACCATACTATGATTCTGTAGTTATCAACCAATCGATGCTTTATATGGTGCTGAAGATGTTTTGGCATATAACTGAGAAAACAACGGTTTTACTTATTCTTTAGAATATTGGAGCACTGGGTTTCTAACATCAGTGTCTTCTCAAGGTGCTGATAAAACTGGAAGAACAAAATGCATCTCTTTTAATTCTCTTCTCTCATTTTTTAATGGTTTACTGCCCTTTAAATAAAAGTAGCGAGGGTCTCAGTTTATGCACTAGGCGTTTGACAACAGCAGGACTAAGGGGAACTAAAGTTCAGTGGCAAAGCAGAGGTGACACTTAGTCTGAGGGTACCATTTACAGTTCTCCATATTAGTGCGGAACTGGTAGAATATTGCAACACTATAACTATTCATCTGTGCAATTTGGTTCTCTGGCCTGAAATGGCCCCCCTGTAGAGAAACTGTGGATCCAGGTATATAAACTCTGGTTTATATATGCTGTACAAAATGGGGAAGGAAGAAAGAAAAAAAGAGGTGAAGATGGGAGCAAAGAGCAAATTCACAGTTAATTAATAAATTAATCAATCACTTTTATTATACACACAGTTAATGTGCATTAATTAGTGTACTTGAAATTAATTACACCTAAAGTTTTCTAAGTTATACTACAAACTTATTGAAATTCTTGCAGTCAGATATTAGTGCATGGTCTTTGAGGGACAGCAGCTGATCCTGTCTTTTGTATTCACTGCTGACAACTGGTTTTTGATCCTGGGATTCTGTATTTCTTAGGCCACTCATCCTTGGAGATATTATACCTATTTCTCAGGCCACTGATTTTGCGCTCTGCCCATAGAACAAATCAGGTCAAGAAAATAAAAACAGCAGTAAGAGAGTATTTGTTATGAAGAGTGGGAGGGAATGTACAACATAATTTCTAGTCTTTAATGGGGAAAAAGAGGAATGAATGAATTGTCCAAAGTTCCAGGGAAAGAGGAATTGCATCCAAATGCCTCTACCTTTCACTTTTTATTTTAAAGCAGTGAATGGTGATTTGTAAAGTTACTACCACCCTACATATATGCTGTTTCTTCTTCTCTCATAGGGGCTGCGGATTATTTTTTCAGATGCTTCCAGGCTCATCTTCAGAATGAGTGCTTCAAGTCATGTGAGAGCTACTCTCCGGATCTATGCAGAGAGTTATGAAAAGGATCCTAGCCAACACAATAAGGAACCACAGGTAATGAAATAGGATTGTAGTACGTCAATAAGTAATGCATTACCTCTGTAATAGCAGTGGCTATGGGTTCTCATCTTTAATCAGAAGTAACACTCAGTGTTTGGACTCGTTTACTGTGTTTGTAGATGATTTTCCTAGTCTTGTAAATGTACTCACTTTGAGGCAGGAACAGCAGTTTTAATATATGTTTGTGTAATATCTAACACAACAAGAAGGCACACTAATATCTAGCACTCTCAAGGGCTGAAATGCCTGGTGATGAATTCTGGGCAACGACTCCAGGTCTGTTAAGAGAAGACATTCTAGTTTGAATTTTTTTCACTATTTTTTAAAGGGTCATAATCCAAGTTCTAGAACAATATTTTAAAAATAAGATGACCATTTTTCAAGAAGATTGTCTGGAAGTCAGGGCATCCCAAGGATTCCTCATGGTGAGACTACAGTTAGGAAATATGGATGCCAGATGCTAAACAATGTAGAGATTCCTTTTAAGGGAAAGACTTGCAGTTGTCTAAGAATTATATCATAACCAGATTTTTTCCTAAGAAGAGTGAATGTTGAAAGCAAGTTGCTGTAAAGTCCAGCAGATGCCTAGAGCAATTAATAAAAATCATGTTTCACACACTCAGATTTTTCTCAGGAAACCACCTTTATGCTGTGATATACAAGAGAGGACTAAGGATGTTTCATGGAAAAGAGGTTAAGCATTTGGTTGTGGTAAATCAAAACACTGTCCGTGTAGCCGTGTGTTCATGACTGGAATGCAAATGCAAATGTCCCAAAACATAAAAGCTTTCAAATGCGTTTGAACCCTAGGTAAATGTTTGGTGTTGCCTTTTCAGCAGAATCTCACCATAAACTTAGCAAGTTTCTTCTTGTGCTGTTAAACATTGTCTATCAGTCACAAAAAGTGCTTCAGATTTTACAGAAATGTTGCAGACTCCATGCCTGCAGATATGATCTATTAATTTTATTTGCTTTTATTTTTAAGTAACAGTTTGCATCCTCAGTAACTTCTTGGATAGAATACTTATAATGTTAAAGCTCTAACAGAGTGAAGGACCTTTTTTTAGCAATTTTATTGGTTTTCTGTGTATCCAGGTTTACCCAGCTAGCAAGATCATTGATGTATTTTGACTAGGGAAGAACACTGCTACAACCCCATTTACAGCTCCTACTGTATTGGATTTACATGGCAAGGTTTTGATAGCTACAGGGGTGGCTTCTGTGAGAAGTTACCAGAAGCTGTCTCCTTGTTAAAAAGAGCCAGTTCCAGCTGGCTCCTAGATGGACCCACCACAGCCTCAAGCTGAATTCCATTTTTCTTGTAGGCTCCCTTCAGGTACTGGAAGGCCACAGTTAGGTAACCCTGAAGCCTCTTCTTTTCCAGGCTGAGCAAATCCAGTTCTCTCAGCTTTTCCTCATAGGTAAGGTGCTCTATCCCCCTAATCAGCTTGATGGTCCTCCTTTGGACTCACTCCAACAGATCCATGTCCTTCTTGAGCTTAGCACCCTCGAAGCTACAGAGTACTCCAGGTAGGGTCTCACCAAGAGCAGAGTACAGGGGCAGAACCACCTCCCTTGACCTGCTGGCCACGCTGCTTTTGATGGAGCCCAGAGTACATTTTGCTTTCTGGTTGGCAAGTGCACATTGCTGGGTCATGTCCAGCCTCTCATGCACCAGAACCCCCAAGACCTTCTCAACAGGCCTGCTCTCAATCTGTTCATCCCCCAGCCTGTATTGATACCGGGATTTGTCCCGACCCAGGTGCAGCACCTTGCTCTTGGTCTTATTAAACCTCATGGGATTCCCATGGACCCACTTCTTGAGCTTGTCCAGGTTCCTATGGATGGCGTCCCATCCTTCAGGTGTGTCAACTGCACCCCTTGGCTTGGTGTCATCTGCAAATTTGCTGAGGGTGCACTCGATCCCCTTGTCTGTGGTCATTAACGAAGATATTAATAACACTCATCCCAGTATGGACCCTTAGGGACACCATTTGTCACTGACATTCTTTGGGACTCTTAGCTGTTGACCACTACCCTCTGGATTCCACCATCCAACCAATTTCTCATCCATCTAACAGTCCACCCATCAAATCCATCTCTCTCCAATTTAGAGAGAAGGATATTGCGGGGTGCCATGTCAAAAACTTCACAGAAGTCCAAATAAATGACATCTGTAGCCCTTTCCTTGTCCACTGCTGTAGTCACTCCATCCTAGAAGGCCACTCAGTTGGTCAGGCATGACTTACCTTTTGTGAAACTCTACTGGCTGTCCCGAATCACCTCGCTGTCCTCCATGTGCCCTAGTATAGCTTCTAGGAGGATCTGTTCCGTGATCTTCCCAGGCACAGAGAGGAGGTTGACAGGGTGGTAGTTCCCAGGATCTTCCTTTCTATCCTTTTTAAAGATGGGTACGTTTCCCCTTTTCCAGTCACCTGAGACTTCACCTGATTGCCACGACTTTTCAAATATCATGGAGAGTGGCTTTGCAACTGCATCAGCCAACTCCCTCAGTCTTGTGCAATCTATATTGGGTACTCCTTAAATGAGATGCAGTGAATCACAGATGTTGGAATTACTTTTGCCGAAGACTAGTAAAGAACATGCTTCTGAGCTACAGAATCATGAGATTAGCAGCAGCCAGGATTTTAGGACATGAGTTGTTTCTTTGTGTTTTAATTGGAAAAGGCAAGCCAATTAAAAAAAAAGAAAAAAAAAGGTCAAAAATACGTCTTGATCATCAAACACTGAATTTCCGAAACGATTTTTGAATGGCAAGTAGCAGAGGAAAAAACAAACTGATTTGCATGTGGACCTTGTTTGGTATGTGAAAATATTGTGTTACATATGGTTGTATATATGAGTGATTATATAAAGTGGTTGATTGTGGTGTGAGTTTATCCAAGAGCTGAGAACTGAAATCAACAATCCAGAAGTCCTCGCGTCCACTATCACTTAATAGGGATAAAATGAAAGGAGTCTATATGGTTCTGTCAGGACATTGATACAACCTTAAGCACAAGCTCAGTTTACTAGAGAATTATTACCTCTCTTTACTTTTGAAGCATTGAGTCTTTTAGCATGGCTCTGGTCAGCTATTAAAACATACAGTATGGTCCAGAAAAATCATATAAAGTTGTTTCAGTTTTGTCTGGGTTAGTTTTCTTCTTAGTAGCTGGTACAGTGCTGTGTTTTGGATTTGGTATGAGAATAATGTTGATAACACAATGATGTTTTAGTTGTTGCTGAGTAGTGCAGTAAGTATGTTAAGGACTTTTCAGTTTCCCATGCTCTGCCAGTGAGGAAGTGCACAAGAATCCAGGAGGGAGCATAACTTTGACAGATGACTTGAACTGGCCAAAGGGATATGCCATACAACAGGATGCCACGTTCAGTATATAAACTGCAGGGAGTTGGCTGTGAGGGGCTGATCACTGCGCAGAGACAGGCTGAGCACAGTCAGTGGGTGGTGAACTGTTGTATTGTGCATTGCTTGTGGGGTTTCTTTGCATTTTATTCCTCTCTCTTTTTCCTTTTATTATTCATATTATTATCATATTTTAGTTTATTTCAGTTATTAACCTGTGCTTATCTCAACCCACGGGTTTTGTCTTTTCCAATTCTCTGCCAGTCTCACCAGGGGCAGGGGAGTGAGCAAGCAGCTGCGTGGTACTTAGTTGCTGGCTGGAGTTGAACTACACTATACAGTGAACAAATTTTAAATCATCTGAGACTGCAATGGAAATAGATCATGTGGGAGTAATTATAAAATATTTCACGAATCAAAGAAATTAGTTCACTAAACCTGATCTTTGCTCATAGCTCTTTGGACATTCTAGAAAAGAACTAATCTGTTGCAAACATAGATGTTTCCATGTAAACCACTCCGTTTCCGTGTAAACCACTCAGTTTACATTTTCTCCCTATCCGTTTCACCCATCATGCCTGGCCTCCTCTATTCTAGAGGCAGAACTGACTTTCCAACCTTTATTATTATTTTATTTGAGTTGACCGGGAGACCTCTCTGAGCAGAGAGGTCAGTTTCCTTTTTTCCTGTGGAAAGTGTGCTGCTTCGTGGTAATAAACCTCACCGCCAGTGCTGTGGATATTACAAAGTAGGTTCAGTTTGTTCCACGATGAACATCTGCATTGCTTAGATCTTTTAGGACAGGTTGCTGTGGCGTAAACCGTTCTGAAGACTTCTGGGTTTTTTTGGAATGCAAGGCCAAAGCAGCTTGAGCTGAGCTGTGTGTTGAGCCCCTAAGGCAGAAGCTCTGCAGGAGGTACAGCTGTGGTGCCAGACGTCAGTGAACTGCTAAGCTCCCTTTGTAGTTGTTTCATTCCATTATTTATGTCTCTCGAATCACTTTAGTGTTGCTTTGTAAGTGTATTGGTTTGACTTTTAAAATGTATTAAAGCCGAAGGAAAAGCTCCTTCTGATAAATAAGGCCATCAAAACGTGCTTTGGGGGATTTGCCCCTCTCTTCTACCTTTGTTTTTCTTTCATTTAGTTCATATGATAGTGATTCTGTTGCCTAGGTTACAGAGCGCTAACAACAGCTTTAAGCGGTCACATGAAGCAGGGGAAAATGATGTGTAAGCAGGAAGAGGTAAGAAAGGAAGGAGTTATTTCTCAGTTTCCCTGTGTCCTTGTTCTAGCTGCCTCATTACCCTGGCCTGTCTGAGCAACCTCTCGTGTAATGTTTAAATGATAAAAAGAGAAGAACTGAGAATTAATTTAAGCGTTAGGAGAGAAAAGGATTTCTGGCCCATGTCTGAAATGTCAAGGCTTATCATGATTTATACAATGATAACACCACCTAGCAATTACCGATGTTGTTGAGTTCAAAGCATTCTGCAAGTATGTTTTTCTCAAGGCTGCCATTATAAACTAGAGAACTACTTTAATTCATACTAAAACTGATAGACAAACAATTGAAGACATAGAATTTGAGGTTTGATAGCAGTTTTTAGAGAGAGAATATGCACAGATGGTAAAGACTTGGCACATCTTTTATCATGACAGAACACCAGGAGTTAAACTATAGCCCTTTTTTGACAACTTCGTTCTGTACTAACCCACTTATTTATCTTTCTTTAATTCTGAGCCATTAACAATTGTTCCAGGGAGGTGCATTCTTTTGGAACATGGAGTACTATGCCAGCACTGTTAGAAATCTGTCACAAGGTCAGAATGCTTGATCTGAAATAATTACTTTCTGTATGTGTCTTTTTGACTATTAGTATTTCAGGTGCCTAGGTGTCTAGTCATACAAGGTTTAACCAATTGTTGCTGAATCTTTTTCCCCAGTAGGACACTCTTTTAAGACTGGCTAATTCAGATGGCCTTACATTACTTCTCCATGTGGATACAAGGAGTATGTTGTTTAATGTTTAATGGTTTTACGAATAATAACATACATACAAATATATATACGTGCATACAAATATAATAACTTTGATCCTAGTGTTCCACTGTGTACCTTCACTTGTGTATATGTAAAGCTGAGAGAGCCCAGAAGAGCACTGGTGGACACGATGCTGAATGCAAAATGCAGATGGGTGCAGTAAGAGAAGACAGAGCAAAAGTTTGAGAACAATAAAAGAGAGTTGTAGTTATCTGATGTTCACTAAAACATTTAGATCCTATTTGAAAGTATTACCATTCCCTTAGTGTTTGTTTGTTTTATTTGTCCCAGATAAAGTCTGCGGAATTCTGTTCACTGATGAGACCGATGGGGTAACTTGTTTTTGAGACTGTGAAAAGTGAATTTAAGATCTATGGAAAATGTCTGTGCATAGACTGTGTAAAATTGCTTTTCCTAATAAGACTGAAATTAATTGCAGGCTTGGGGAGAAGCTAAAGAGCCTCATGGGCTTTCCAGGCTAAGCCTGGACAGCTGATTTTGCATCAGAACTGCATGAACTTGTGATGAAAGTTGGCAGGTTTTAGCATAAAAGCTACACATAGAAGGCTTTCACAAGGTGTTTCTTGACATATAGATGGCATTTATGCACCTATTCTGAGAAAATTATTTTCTTAAGCCAAACTCCAGAGACATGCAGAGCTTTTAACCTGCAAGCAGGTACATTTCAGCCCTGCCTAACCCTTGATAAACCACATGCATCATGGGACAAATCTTATGTGAGACCTTAATTAGAAGAGCGTGAGTTGTATGGAATTTTCTTGCAAGATCACAGAGAGAAAAAACACTACATGAGCCAAGCAGGAATGATATGCCTCTGACAGCTCTGGTACAGATTATTCCCTAGGAAAAAGCTTTTAATCTTTATTTGCCTGATGTTAGATATCTGCTTGCTTGATTTATTTCGTGGTACAAGTAATCATTGCTACCAGTTATTTTTTTAGAGATATAACTTCTATGTGTGGTTACTAAAGTAAAATTCTGATTAAATCAGTTCTGTAAATTTTCAATTCTTTAATTTTGTCTAAAGGATAAAATACCATATCTCCTAAAAAGTTGCCAAGAGATAAATGTGTTATTTAACATACTGAGTGATTGCAATTATTTTTTGAGCTGGCATATCAATCATAAAGTTTTACAATTTCTTAAGCAGAAAGAACCATTTGAAAAATATTTTTAAATCAAGATCTCTTTGAGATATAAAAGGCTTTCTAGAGTGATATTAATGATAAGTGATTTGCTGCCTGGGATTTATCTGTTGCAACTGAAGTGTAAATTATTCATGGCAGAGGTAAAGAAGTTTTTAAAAGGCATGTGCAGTTCTAGTTCCTTGTTATTCTGTCCTGCTCTTGCCATTCCAAATATAATGCACTTTCACTTTTTTGTATCTTCTGGATGAAGAAAATATAGTTAAATTGAAGTATGAGAAGACAGAATTAAAGAAGGACTTTCTCTGTTGAGAAGTGTGATTGTGACAAGAAGAACATTTAGTAACAAGTGAAATCATTTGGCAAAAGTGCAGCACCTAAATTGTTTATGTAAATGGATGTCACATAAACTCATTTGATTTTGTGTTTTGTTCCAGCATTGTATAAAGTGTTGCTTGGTTTATTTTTTAATTTTAATGTTGAATGCCTTTGTTGCCTAAGAAAGCAGAGTCTAGTGAAACTGGTCAGCAGGGTTGCTTTTTAAAATTTCCCTTTGTTTTAGATTACATAAGGAAAAGGTTTCTTAGAGGAGTGCCAGAGAAGTTCATATGCTTTGGTGTCATCCAGACCTTATAGATTGGCATATTTTAATATTTACTTTTGCAGCATTTGCTCACAGATGTGAATTTGTGTTCTGCATATTAATCTTCTCTAAGTATGTTTGACTTTAATAGACTTGTGTTCTGCTTCAGTAATTATTCACTAGATAGATATCTACAAATATGGAGCTTTTTTAACAATAACATGTCAGACCACTCATGCTTGTGCATTACTAAGTTTAATCATAAACTCACTGGACACCAATGGCATTTGTGGTGTTACTGCATGAATACTTGCACAGCTAGTCTCTTCAGTCTTTTGACTGAACCATCTGACTGCTTGTGTAAATAAAGCAAACACCTCATCCTGTCAAAAACTGTTAGGTGGCTGAAAGAGATTAAAAGTATTGATTATATTAAGGTTATAAAAATATATCTGTAAATTTAAGTTCTCCAGAATTACTGTTTTGTTTCATTTCTTTTTCAAACCTGAGGGGTTTGAATTAGTTTATTTGAAAGGGGCATCTGGGGGAAATCTCTAAGGGTCAGAGAATTAACTCATTAGTTTGGTAACCAAATATACAATTCTCTGAAAAGTAGGTTTTCACGCAAAACTCAGCTGTGTCTATCTTTGTGTATCATTTAATTAACTGAAAGAAGATTCAATTGCCATTTGAAAAATTGTATTTTACTTGGTTTTCACATGGTACTATCATAATAGTTACTTGCACTCACCCATCTGGGCATGTGTATGGCCATTTAATAAGGTCTGTAGCCTGAAACTTGAAAATTCATGCTCTTCTGTTGGAATTTATCCTATCAACATGTGGTATTACTCAAAACACACTTCTGTGAATTCTATTTGGGTAGTTGTTACAGTACCTTCTGACCTTAAGCTTCACAGAGTAAGTGTGTTTGGGAGGAAAATATCATCTGTGTGGCTTCTACTTATCAGAATGGAAACAATTCTACTTTTGTACAATTTTTTCTAGGTTTTTTGTACAGCAGATTTCACAAGAGCTCCACAATTCCTGTGACATAGAAACATTATCAGTACAGTGTATTTAGTGGTTTCTCTTTTCTGCATAGCTTAGGTATAGTCAGTGTAACACTTCACAAAACATGCTAAACATGATACTTCGTTATGCCAAGTATAACTATATAGACACTATGGCTGTGTCAGTTTTTCATATTATTAAATTATTTACTATTATTATATAATTCGACAGTTAAAAGAAGGATTTATAAATGTCTGATGTCTTTTGATATTTATGCTTAATGTAATTCAATGTATTTCTCCCTCTTTAGGCTGTGCTGAGTCCTCTTATAGCAATCGCACTGAAAATATCTCAGATTCATGAGAGGACAGGACGAAAGGGACCCACTGTCATTACCTGAAGCCACAGAAGATTGTTAAACCAGGGCCAAAAGAGAAACAGCAAGGAAGAGACTGAACCTTGTTAAGACTTGTTAGCCATTTGTGCCTTGTATGATTTTAAAAGTTTTCTTGGGGAGAAAGGCAGGGTGGGAACTAAAATTCAATATAACATTGAGTATAATCACTTGCATTGATCTCCAAATGCAATAGTATATTGACTTCTTTGTTTTACCTGCAATATCTTAATTTCTGATAACAATATAACCAAAGAGGCCTTAATCTTCAAATGTTGTCAGCAGTGTGACAGAAAATGACAACTGCTTGGTTTTGAATGCTGTGATAAAAGTTGGAGAAATTTCAATTATGGAGAGAGGGGGAGGAGTTGCAAAGCAAAGACATATTTGGTGAATATTGTTTGGGAATATTGTCACCTTCTTGTCAGTTTATAAAAAGCATACAGAGCATGTATGAGCACGTCATAAGGGCTGTATACTGAACTATGTATTTCGTCACTGGACAACTATGCCTCCTCTCCTGCCTTTCCTGTTGCTCACAGATGCACACTGACAGCAGTGTTGTATACACATTTACACATGCTCCCAAAGAAGGGGTTATTCCATATTTTTTTTACCCCTGCTTTTAAAACGTATCAATGTGACTTGTGCCTTTAGATTTTCCAGATTTTTTGACTCTTTGGTTGTTTTCCTCCAAAGGGAGGCATTTGTGCTATAGAGCTGATTTTATCCTTCCAGCACTATGTTGGCTATGGAATCTGACTGTCTTTTGAAATATTCCTCATGTCAGGAGATGATACTGGTTCTTACTGTGTTTGAAAGGTAATTATTGCAAGTTCAGCAATTCTTTATGAGGGAGTTACAGAAGTCTTCTAAGTCTTTGGAATACTCATGCTCCACTACTACAAAGTGAAATAAGTGAACAGGGGATTAAAAAAACCTAATAAATTAAATAGAAATACTTGATTGATTCACTAGCTGAACATGGTTTCTGTTAGATTCTTAGTGACAGTGGATCATGGAATAAAAATTTGGGGAGTGCAAAAGGCGTCTCAGCATAGATCTGAGAAGGCTGTTGGGGATATGGACATCAGCATTTTTCTGCTTGTGAAATGATACTGTGGTTCTAGCTACAATACTGTGCCCTGAAGAAGAACACAAACACTTTGCATGTCATTTGTTTCAAAGCTTTGCTTTGTTGTTCGCTTGTATCATTCATCAGGGTGGCTTTGTGCAACTTGCCTCTTTACAGTGTATTTTAATTCATTGTGGTTGTCAAATTTTAGTGCAATTTATATAATATTGCAGCAAAGGAAATTGTTTTTATTTCTTTCAACACTTCTGTCAAAAAAAGGCTATGGCACTTAGTACACAATAAAGAGTAATGCTGTATATCTGTCTTAATATGTAATTGTGGACAAGACACACTGCACTTTGAAGCATCCTAATAAAACTGCCTTTAATACAGTTACATTATTACTTAATTGAATCTAAACGAATGAGGTACTAATGTTGTCACATACTATCCTACCTTACCATTACATATTCCCATAAACCAAATGAGATTTTAAGACTTTAGTTCTTTTTATAAAGATTTTTCTCTTATATGACAGTGGCATTCTCACACAGTTTGGACATCTGCTTTTGAGTGTAAGAGTATTCATCTTTACAGAAACCTTGCAAAGAACATTTCTGGAAGAAACTTGATTTATCTAATATTTTATATTTATTATAGATCAAACTCCTCTAGGTGCAAGATAGTAAGCTCCTAATTAGTAGATCACACATAGTCACACACTCTGGATTATGACAGTTCAAATTACTGGGTTGCATGAAAGAACGTTCTGAAAGGGAGCTCACTAAGACTTGTAAAATCTCCTACATGTTCTCTGACAATGAAAAAATTTTTGATCATATAGTGAGCTAGCTATTTATACTATGGAATATCCCATTTGTCAAGCTTTTCTGGGATGGGAACAACGCACTTTGAAAAGTAAGATGTTCTGAAGCCAGGTGTCTTTTCAGGATGCAATGGAAAAGACTCACAAGGAACAGATGAGGACTGTGAAGAATCACACCTATGCTTTTATCAGAAAGCTATCACTAGAGCTGCAGAAGATGACAGTCTGCTTTTCTGAAGGCAGTCATGATAAACAAAGAGTATATTTTAAAATCTTGATATTGACTTTGTCTTGGGCTCCAGGTCCCTTTTTTTATAAAGATGGGTGATACTGATAAAAGGTAATTACTTTTCTCTGCAAGAAAATGAATAAAACCTTGTAAGGCTGAAGTACAGTGTATATCTTTATATCTGATGCATGTGGGGAAGGACTGTAGCCATAGTCTCATAAAGTGTGCTGCATTTCCTGAGGTCTTTTAATTATTAACATGAAAGATGAATGCTTGGAAAAAAAGCAACGTATACAAAGTTACACAAAAATGCAAGGCTCCTAAAAACTCCCCATACATCTAGTAGAGGGAAAACTGTTATTAATTCTGTTCATCTTATCACAGTGTCTAGGTGCTGTGACAGAGACCTACACCCTTCTGTGCTATTTTTGAATAAGCAGTTTCCTCAAGTCTGGAAATCGCAAGATTCCTTTATTGTTCAGCTGTGATTGCACTAATATTTATTTGGACATAATTCTGTTTCCCAAAACCTCGTATTCTCTCTGTGTTCAGAGACAATTTGTAAGGCAGTACTACTCACCTGAACCACAGAATCACAGAATCCTTGAGTTTGGAAGGGGCCACCTAGTTCATCAGGACTAAAATCACCTAGTCCATGTCCCAGCTCACAGCAGGATCATGTAGAGGAAGCTGCCCAGGACCATATCGAGTTGGGTTTTGATTATATCCGAGGGCTGAGACTCCACAACCACCTCAGGGCAAACTGTTCAAGTAATTGACCGCTCCTGTAGTGAAAAAAAAAAACCAAACCCAAAACTTCCGTGAGTGGTCATATGGAATTTTGTGCGATTCAGCTTGTGCCCATTGCCTCTTGTCCTGTCATTGGGCACCACTGAGAAGAGCCTGGGTCCATACACTTTTTTCTTTACTATCAAGTATTTACAGAAATAAGATTCCTTACGAACCTTCTGTCTCACAGACTAAACACTTGTAACTCTCTGAGTCTCTTGTCATATGACAAGTAGTCCATTCCCTTCATCTTTCTGGCCTTTTGCTGGAGGTGCTCCAGTATGTCCATGTCTCTTTTGTACTTGGCAAGCTCAGACTCAGCCCTTCAGTTGTATCTTACTCTTACTCTGCTGAGCAGAGGGAAAGGATCACCTTCCTCCAACTGCTGGTGATGCTTTTCCTGATGCAGCCCAGGATGCCATTGGCTGTCTTTGCTATGCAGGTGCGTTGCTGGTGTGTTATCAGCTAGTTGACTGCCAGGTTCTTCTCTGTGGAGCTGTTTTCTAGCCCACTGGCTACAGCATGTACTGGTGCTTGGATTTGTTCCTCCCCAAGGGCAGGACATCACATTTTCCTTTGTTGAACTTCATGAGGTTCCTGTTGGCCCATTTCTCCAACCTACATAGATCCCTCTTAATGGCAGCACATCTGCCTGGAGTGTCAGCTGCTCCTTCCAGTCCTTACAAAACCACTGAAGATGTGCTCTGCCCTGTTATCCACATGATGCCAGTATTTGCTCCAGGATTGACCTCCGGGTTGTGCTGGTGGTGACTGGCCTCCAGATGGACTTTGTGGCAGTGATCACAACCTTCTGGACTGGCTGTTTAGCTGCTTTTCAATCCATGTCACTGTCCACTTATTTAAATCATATTTTGTCAGTCTGAAGATGTTTTTTGATATGGTGTCAAAAGCCTTACTAAAGGTGAAGCAAACAACATTCAGTACTCTCTCCTTATCCGCTGCTCTCTCCTCATCCACTAAGCCACTCATCTCATTGTAGAAGGTCATCAAGTTGGTTAAGCATCACTTGCTCTTCATAAATCCATGCTGATTACTCCTAATCACCTTCTTGTCCTTCATGGCTTTGACAAGGATTTCCAGGATTGGTTATTCCATCACCTCCCAGAAACTAAGGCGAGGCTGGCCAGCATGTAACTTCCCCAGATCCTCCTTCTCTTACAGACACGAGTGATATTTCCTCTCGCAGGGGTCTCTCCGAGTCACCCACAATCTTTCAGAGGTAATGGAGGGTGGCCTTTCAATGGCATGACTCAGCTTCTTCAGCTCTGTGCATGCATTCCATGTGCTCCCTGACCTGTTCTTGCTCCACCCAAGGTAAGTCTTCCTTGTCTCAGATTTTTCCTTTGGTCTTGAGGGCCTATAATGCCTGAAGGCTGGTTTTACCAGTAAAGATGGAGACAAAGAAAGCTTTGAGCACTTCAGCCTTTTCTGTGCCCTCTTTCAACTTATGTACATGTAGAAACTTTTCCCATTACCCTTCATGTTCCTCACCTCATTCGACTCCAAGTGAGCTTTGGCTTTCCTGATCTCAACCTCGCATGATTGGATAGACAGGGTCAATCATGCAGTTGATATGCATGTTGTCCTCCTGGTTCAGTTGTCCCTGCTTCCACTTATCATACATTTCCTTTTCATATCTGAGTTTAGTCAGGAGCATCCTGTCCATCCATGCAGGCCTCCTGCTGCCTTTGTTTGATTTCTACGTCAGAATGAACCATTCATGAGCTTGAAGGAGGCAATCCTTGAAAATCAAACAGCTGTCCTGGATTTATCTCTTCTCCAGGGCCATAACCCATGGGACTCTTCCAAGCAGATCTCTGAAGATGCTAAAGTCTGCTCTGCAAGCTTTGGTCTTGCCTTTTGTCCTTTTTGCTCCTCTAAGAACTCTGAATCCATTGTCTCATGGTCAATGCAGCAAAAACCTTCACGTGCCCACCCACTTCTTGGTATTGTGAGTGTGAGGACAGCAGCATCTTATTGGCTCCTCAGTCACCAGTGTCAGGAAGTTATTTGTCAATGCACTGAAAGAATCTGTTCTGTTCTGAAGCCTTAGTTTGACTGGTTCTGTCCTGCCCAAAGAAAATTCCTTTTAACTTAAAATTTCCAGCTGCTATTCTTGGCAAATATGACTTCATGCTATTAAATTTGATCAAAAGCAAACTGTTTAAAAGCCTTTGCTGCTATTTTTGAGCTCATTGCCCATGCCATTTTTCATTAAGTTCATAATCAAATAGTTCATTACCTGAAAAGACAAAGTGATTGTATCAAAATACCAGATTGTATCAAAATATTAGGTGTTAACTTTAATGTTCTTTTTATCTCAGTAACTTTCATGTATCAAATACTTTATGGCATACTGCAGGTGGAAGATGCAGTTTTCTTCAGTTTCACATTTCTGGACCTGTTGAGACCTCACAACATCTGCAGGGCTTTCCTGGAACTGGGAGAAAGGAAGGGAGGGTTAGCTCTTCCTGTTTGTTCATAAACTATGTGGAAAGCATCTGAATGAATTTCCTATAGCAAACTGGTCCAAGAGCAAACTTAAGGGCTACTCCTGCAGTACTTGCTCTCAGTATGACTCAGAACTATAGTCTCAGCCATTTCCCACTCATTTGGTCTTGCAGGAGTAGTTACCTAGTGGAAAAGTTTGATTTCCAGTGGAGGAAAAAAAAGAAGTTGAACATGCAGGACAGGCATTTTGCCATGGGATATCTCATGGCTGATCAGTCTCATTGCAACAAAACTTGTGCCCACTGCCTTCAGGAACTGGGACTCTGGAATAGAGAAGCAAGAGATTTCAGGGGATGGATATGGTAGTAAGATACAGAGGTAAGACTGTAACAAGATCACTTGGCATAGTAGATCCTCACTTCAACTGGAAATAATGTGTACTTCTGGCTTTTATTGTTCTCTGTGCTGTGCTGCTTCTCAGTCGCTGAAAAATCTTTATATGCTGATGGCATCTTCTATCAGCTTCTTTTCAGGGGCTCTATTTTAGACTCTGGATGTTTTAATACATTTCTCATCATCAACTTACCTTGAACTGATTTTTCTTTCTCTGTAGTTTGTTCGCCCCAATTTACTCTGCTTTTCTTTTTGCTTAAAGCAACGGAAGGTTTGTATGTTTTTCCCATAAAGGATGAAATTCTTTGAAGGACAAAACTGATGCAATTGTCAGTTCCCTGGCCTTAGCTATTGTTACCACCATGGCTTGCATTTCCAATGCATGTACAGCCATAGTTCTTAACTTGTAATTTTACAGTATGTGGGCATCTGGAAAGTGTGATAGCTTTTCTGTTTTGCTGGTGTGTAACAAAACCAAAAACAGGTTGCCCGGAGAGATGGTAGGAGCCCATTCCTGAACAAATTCGAGGTCAGTGTAGGAATAGATACATTTCTGGAAGAATTTGTAGCAAAAGATTAGAACTCGTTTTGCTAGGAAGACTCTGCCTAAATGGTAACCCTTTCTCAAAGGGAATTTTAATGCTTCCCCACCTGCCCCCCAACCTCCCCTGCGTGGCAAGAGAAGTTCTCAGCCTTGCTTTCTGGTATGCAGAGAGACAACATGTTTGCAGGCATGTACAAGTCCTCTTTGGGCCAGAAAGAAAGTAGAGGAGGAGAGAGAAAAGATAAAATAGCCTTGGAGGAGGAGGGACATTGCCTTTGCCCCTGGGGCCTGATGTGTGCAAATCAAAAAAAGAAGTGGTGGTCCTTGCATCTAAAATAAACCTCTTCTTTTTTTTTTTTTTTTTTTTTAATCCTTCCACTGCCTCGACATTTTTGGGAAGAATACCTGCATGTGTTTATCTTAGAGTCAAGTTGGATGGGGCTCTGAGCAATGCGATCCAGCTCATTGCCAGGGTTTGGACTAGATGACCTCTAGAGGTCCCTTCCAACCAAAAGAGGAAAACTCATCTATAGTGAATGTTGCAGGTTCAAATCTCAAGGAACCTTCTTGAAATTTTTCTTGTCGTCTGGAATTACAGGTGATGGTGCCTGGATGCAAATTTGCCTTCGTGATTTTGTGGAAGGAAGGGCATATATCCAAGACTGTCCTTTTTTCTGGTATTTGTTGTGTAATTATGAGGTAACTTGTGTCAGAAACAGGCTACAGGGTCCCTTTCTCAGTTCCCATAGTCTTGAGTAAGCTGCAGTGGAAGCAACTGCCCTTAGAGGTAGCTCAGAGGAGTCAGAGATGATTTTTCCTCCTGCAATTGGTAGTTTCCTCTGAGGAGCTGTGAGCATAACCAGGATTCTCTTTTTGGCAGCTAGGAGGCATATTTTCTTGTGTCCTTATCTGGAATCATGGACCTCTTGTATTATATAAGCAGACACAAGGTATTTATTTGTTTTAATTACAAAATTTATTCATGAAATCAACAGTAAAACAGCAGATATTTTTACCCCAAAATAAAACACATAACTTGAAAGGCATACAATACAAAAATAATCAGTTATAAAAAATAATCTACAAATTTCAAACAAAAGCTGAGTAAATAGGTTTCCCAAGTCAGCTAATGTTTCAAAACCACAAATGAAGGCTTTCTTTTGAAACTCCTTACAAGGCACAAGACATTTAGGACTAATAAGAGCATGATGCTTCATTTATCTTGTAGTGTAAGAAACTTCTATTACCATTGATGGTGACTCCTATAAGCCTGAACATTTCTATCTCTATGGAGATTTATTCTGCTTTGAGATACTGAGCATCTTTATATATCACCTCCAACTCCACTCACACTGACAAATGGTCAATGTTTTTCCTGTGCAATTTCACCTTAAGTAGTGTACTACTTGGGATCACTGACACGAGTCTTCTTCCAGTTTTCCCTGCTTCACAGATGCAGAATTTTACTGGCTGCCCATCTCAGATGTTCTGACAGATGTTGCTCTTTCTGAGGTCCCCTGGAAGTCTATATCCTGTTGGTAACTGATTTCTTGCATGGATATATGAGAATTTGACTCCAGTCTGGGGTTTGAGTCGTGGTCAGCTGTTTGCTGCTGCCATAGCTCCCGCACACATAACTCGTATGGTGGTGGCTGTTCCTGCTCATGTGTTTCACTGACGAACTCTGCACTGCTTTCACTATATGGAGGCGGAGTGACATTGATGGCTTCTTGCTGTTTTACTGTGAAGGCAATTGACAGTGGGGAAGTCTGTTTTTCAGGATCTGTGCAGTCCTCATAGGAGGGAGGGTAGAAGTCAGGCCTAAAATAAGCAGTCCGAAAAGAAACACTTTATGGTGAAATGTGATTTATCTCACAGAGCTTGGTTAGGTTCTTTGTCTGTTATACTTCTGAAGTTTAGATGAGGCTTAAACTGTAAATGGAAACCTAAATAGGTTTAGAACAATGAAATATATTAAATTAAAAAGGTAGGCATAGCTGGGATCTTTTCCTGTGGCTTTGTACAGAATATTTTATTAAAACACAACATTCTAAAAGGACAAGTCTTCCCCATGAAAATTCCCACCCCTGACATACAAACACTCGTGCTCACATTTCAACAAGTGCCTGAGAAAAGTTTAATTTGAAAGAAGATTGAAATCACTGTTCAAAGTTATTTACTATTACAATAACCATTGTTTTCCACAGTGTTAAAATGCATTTTGTATGACTCTACTTATCTAACCAAAATTTGCTGAATGTTGCTTTTATAGTGCCTTTAGAGAACCCATTGTCAGTGTTTCTGGTGCAGTTTCCACAACAGTCCAGGAAAAGTAATTTGTATTCTGTGACCCTGTTAAAGGCTTTTGCAAGGCCTCATGCCAGTTTAAGAAACTCTCTCTCTCAAAGCATCCAACTTTGTTAAGAAATAAAATTGTAGGATCACAGAATGTTTTGGGTTGGAAGGGAACTTGAAGATCATCTAGTTACACACCCCCTGCCATGGGCAGGGACACCTTCCACTAGACCAGGTTGCTCAGAGCCCCATCCAACCTGGCCTTCAACACTTTCAGGGATGGGGTATCCACAACTCTGGACAACCTGTTTCAGTGACTCACCATCCTCACAGTATACCATTTTTTCCTAGTATCTAATCTAAACATAACCGTTCTCAGTTTGAAACCATTCCCCTTGCCCTGTCACTACATGCTCTTGTGAAAAGTCCCTCTCCACCTTTCCTGTAAGTTCCCTTCAGGTATTGGAAGGTGCCATAAAGCCTCAGTGGAGCCTTTTCCAGGCTGAACAACCCCAGCTCTCTCAGCCTGTCTCGATAGGAGAAGTGTTCCAGCCTCCTGATCATCTTTGTGGCCCTCCTCTGGACCCATTCTAGCAGGTCAATGTCCTTCCTGTGCCGAGGATCCCAGACCTGGATGCAGTGCTCCAGGTGGGGACTCCAAAAGGCAGGGTAGAGAGTCAGAATGCCTTCCCTTGACCTGCTGCTCGTGCTGCTTTTGATGCAGCCCAGGATTCTATTGGCTTTCTGGGCTGCTAGGGCACATTGCCAAGTCATGCTGAGCTACTCATCAACCAACAGCCCAAGTCCTTCTCCCCAGGGCTGCTCTCAATTCATTCTCGGCCCAGCCTGTGTTTATGCTTGGGTTTGTCCCAATCCAGGTGCAGCATCTTGCATTTGGCCTTGTTGAACTTCATGAGGTTCTCAAATAGGGGGGACAATTAAACCAGAAAACTTTAGCAGGAGCCATATAATGAGCTGAAGCTCCCTGAATACCTCAATGTTGATAACTTCTTATATAAGCACCTACCCTACAGCAGCATGTCTGAAATCGTCTGTTGAGATGGAACTCGGGATGCTCCTGCATGAAGTTGGTATAGCTGCACCTGCTGCCTCCGTGTGTGGCTTTGGAAACTTTGGAAACTGTGAAACCTTCTTATTTTCCTCTAGTAAACCTTACGTTCTGTATCACTTGCATGAATTACTGCTTGCATGTTGCTCCTTACTCTAGCAAATAAAATTTCAGACTACAGTTTTCTATAGTAAATATAAAATTTTGTAAAATTTTGTAAAAATCTTTTATTGCTCCTTTTGACTGACAGTATGTTTGCAAAATAGATAGCATCCCTCCCTCCCAAATCATCTGCAGCAAACTGCAGCACATACCTGTCTATGGTGCAGACACGTAGTTCTCGGTGACTGGGATTTCGAATGACGATGCCAAGGGCCCTGTATTTCAAGACTTCATGGAAAGTGCTCCAGAAAATGCCAGTAACAAGGAGAAAGAACCCCAAAGCTATCAGGCAATAAAACACTAGCTCATTATTTCCACATCTGCACATGGAGGAATTTGTGGAAATGCAAAGGACTCCCAGAAAAATAGTGGAGAAACTGAGTAAGAGCACAAAAAGACGAATGAAGGTAAAAACATCTTTTGGCATCTTTCACAGCAGACACAGCACTTTGTTCCTGTCTGCTGTTTGTTTGCTGGCTCTCTTGGCTGTACTTCTCATCTTCATGCATGGGTACTTTATATACTCCAGGACCAACTGGCCTTAGGCAATTAAGAGAAGCAGGCAGTTTTAAGATACTCATTAACTCTGAGAGACTTATAAACTCTTTTGAGATTAATTTGTAACCTTCTACATACTTCAAGGAAGGAAGCAGAAACTTCTTGAACCATTCCTTTGCTTCTGTAAACTCCAGAGTGCATACTGGACCGCTTCATTCATTGCATGTTATGATTTGCAGTGGTTTATACACTTTGCTGTTTATGAATGAGACCTGCATTTGTTAAATTTTGCTTATTTGACTTTAGAAGAAAAACAGCCTACAAAAATGCAGTTCATAATTCCTCATTAAAGGTTTGAAGAGCAAATATGCTTCTTTCTTAATCATCCATTTTCATCTTTCATTGGATTTTGGTCTCCTTCTGCCTTTACCACATTATTCAACTCCCTTGATATTTTAATAGTTCTTTGGAAAAGGATATAATTTCTAGCTTGCAATGTGTTATAGTAACTGAATTTAGTACATAAAATGAAAGAAATAAGATTACATCATGTCAAAGAAAAAAAGGCATATAAGAAATCTTCTTTGTCTGCAGGTTCAATTGTACTCTGATTCCTTTATCATTTATCTGTTCTCTCTTCCAGCAAGTTTTGTTGACTGATTTTCAAAAGGGTCAATACTCAAACTTATGCAGGAACAGCTATATTCAGTTTTCCAAATAAATTTAGACATTTGAAATTCAGAGATGCTTGCTATCAACAGATTTGAGGCCTAAATATTGCTACCTTCAATACAAAAAACAGTCTTTAGGATTAGCCAAATGATTTCCTATTGGAGCATATACCCACTAGTTTTCAACAGGGTGTAGCAAACTTCAAAATCAGAACTTGACTTGTCTAAAGATGCTACCTTATTTGAAAGATTACTAATTATATTTTCAGCCATGAAGTTATTAACAAGACCTTGCCTAGGTTTGTTGCAAAATCTCCATTGCACACAGTGAATAAATCAGAACAGGGAACAATGTGAAAAATAGTTTTAGTCTCAAATCTTCACTGAAATAATGAGTTCATTGCAGGTATTGTTGAGTGATATTCAGTGAGGCGATTTACATATGGATAGCAACAAATGATCACGAAGATTTTCTGCCATTGCCTATAAAAAGGTTTCTTCCTACCTGCTCTGGACTCTTCATTTTACTACTGCAGTCTGGGGGAGCTGTGGGACTTCCGTAGTCAGTGCGATAAAACTTTCTAATACACTGCTTGGGTCTAGTGTGCAAATCCTTAAAGCAGAAGTCACGTTTGATGAGATGAAGAAAGCTCCAGCTCCTCTTAATGTAGACCTTCCCTGCAGCTCTGGAGAGGAAAACTCTGCACAGGCACTTTCAATAGGATGCCTGAGCTTCATATCATCAACTTAGAGGAGACAATTTTGATTTTTGACTGGTCAGGGTTCTTCAAAGTACTGGGTCTCCTGTCACTTGGTGTCCTGGGCTGTACCTGTGTGACTGCAAAATGGTACACAATCCCATGTTATATCTCACTGAAACTTTATGGTATCTCATGTGATGTTGCATATCTGCTCAACCAGCACTTTATTTTTCTGCCTCGAGTTTATCCAAATGTGGCAGATGTTCATTTACAACAAATCAGAATACTTATGAGGAAGCAGCAGTTGGTATCAAGCTGCCACACATTCTGATCAGGCACGATTTTTTTGAGCTCCCACCATCATTACTGCATCTTTAGTTCTCAAAGGATCTGTGATGACATTCTCACAGTTTCTTTTCAGTATCTATCAGAATGTCAACAATGAGAACAAATCTCATTAAACAATATTATCATTAGATAGAATTTTTCTAAAGTGGGTCAGTCTTATGTCATAATAAAAGTGAAAGTACAGCAAGACCAGCTGCTACCCTTCCTAAGGAAGGCGTTCAGGCAAGGAGTGATCTGGGGTAGTCTTCATTTTAGGGCAAAACCCTGCCGAAGTTGTGATAGTCCTGTTCTCTCAGTCCTTGGCTATAGACACCTAAACATCACTGAGGAAGGATGGCACTGCTTCATATGCAGGTGAGGCTATGAGTGAGTGCCAGTTGATCTGTGACTGATATGATAAAACAGGTAAAGTAAATTGGGTGTTTTCCACTCTGCAGTGCCTTCTGACAATTCCAACAGGACATATTTTGTGTAAGCCACATTTTCCTTCAGCAGAAGTCACCTATTTATTTTATTCTGATGTGTGTACTTGAAGCTTATGTTCACAAGTGAATTTCTGTACTATGCTTACCCTATTGAATTATGACAAGAAGGAAATGATCTCACTTATAACTTCGTAGACCATCAATATTCTTGTGATTCTCTGGCATTTGAACAACAGAGATTGGTGTCAGGATCACTATACACAATAGCAATTCACAGACCTATTTCAATACAACAAATCTCCCGATACCTTGAATGCACATAACTGTCATACATGTTCCACTTACATGTCTTGAACCCTAGATCGCAGCCTGTACCATGGCAAGTTTCTCCTCCTCACATTTTCACATGATGCAGGCTGGAAAGCAGGTACTAATTATGTGCTTATCTCTATGGCTTTGTTTCCCTTCTGCCCCCCAAAATTTGCTAATAATTTTGAGAGACACATTGTCTTTCCTGATCATGGATGAATAGAAAAGAAAATTGCTTGGTAAAGCTTCTCCTTGGGAGCTCATGTCTTGTTCTAGATCAGTGCCACAGGTTTTCAGGTAGAGCAGTTCAGTTAGGGGAGTTGGTAGAAAATTTTGGATAGCAGCAGCAACCTGATTCTCAGTGCTGTGTGCTCCTCACCTGCATGTCCCTGAAAGAGATAAACTCTTATTCCCCTTCAGGAATGTGCTTTTCTTAATCCAGTTGTCACAGATACAAGATGCAGATAATAGCTCTGGTCAGGACCCCTGCTGCTACTGCAAAACTACTGGCCTGCTTGGAAAGAGTTTCACCTGCCCTTAAAAACCTGCATCAGCCATGAAAAACACTCTGCTGACCTCCCATCACACCGAGACACAGCTAACAGACCTTTGAGTCTTGGGCTCTAGATCTCTTCTTGCTGAAATAGTAGTTTCATTGATGCCTACACTGAATATGCATTTCCGGGATGGATCTGGTCCCTGTCACCACATGGAAGAAAGGCTGCAGCACTCACTCCAGCCTGGAGTCACGTAAGTTTAATATGTTCCTGGGCTATCCCAATTTTTGCCCAGGAAAGGCAAATTGAGGCTCAGACCACTGCAACACTGGCAGCACAGATTCTTCTCCAGCAGTTGAACTGCTTCATGTGAGCCTGGCATGGGCACAGGTGTGTTATTACTCAGTTACTGTTATTACTCAGTTACTGTCCTCTCCCTTCACGGAGAGGACAACCCAGTGAAACATTGTGCAGGTAAAACCTCTGCGTTGTTCAACATTTTAGCAGAGTGCTGATACATACAGGGCTGAACCTCTTCGTCTGTCTAAGGAGTTCAGCATTTTGTGCCAGGTGGTCTGTGCTACTTCTTATGGAATAATAATAATGAAATTTGAACTAAAAATGCTCTCTATTGCTGAATGCAAGTTAATTTTCTGATCCTTATGATGAGAACGAACTGCTCTGTCTGTTTGTCTGCATCTTGCCCATACATATTTGCTAATGAAATATAATTTTTTTATCTTTGTGGTGTGGAAGCTTACAGCCCACCTGGTTCACAGTGATCTCTCCTGTAATGTGTTTCCTTGTTAGCCAGATGGAAGTGAATGTTGTGCATTGGTACTTTTAACGTGATTTAGTTCTTTTGTAATGAGGATTCCCTACAGAGAAGATGAATTCTATTCTTGTCATCCCATGGTAAAAGCACAACTCCATGTGATGCATATAGAGCTTGGAAATTGGCTGTAAATGTGACAAGTTCATTTTTCGTGTGGTTTTAGTCCATGTGCCTGCACGGCACACAGGCTGTGGGCTGCTGTCACAACAGTTAACTATACGTAACTTTCCATGAGGTGAGCTGGCTCATTTTCCGAAAGACCTGTTACAGCAGGCCTTGAGGATGAGCCAAGATGGAAGTACAAGAGGTATGTATGATAGAACTGTAGGAATAGTTGTGCTTTTGCAAGAATTTGTAACCGGAAAGCTAGAAAATCCTTTTTGTTAGGAAGCCTGCAAGGGGCCTTTTCAAGAGCATTATATGGGTTCTTTTCCCTCTGCAGTCCAGAGGGGGTTGCAGAAAGCTATGTAATCTCTCTCTCTGCTACGCCAAGAGAGATAACCCTAACAGACATGTACAGAAGCCTCAGGAAGGCAGGGGAGAAACAGAGAGGATAAAAAGGCCCTGGAGAGGGCAAGAACTTGCCTTTTCTCCCTGAGGCCTGGTGCTTAATAGCACTGTGAGGTATTTGTAAGTTCCTCGTGTTCTGGCCTTCTAAATAAACCTTTGAATTCTTTCCACTGCCTTGGTGTTTCTGGGTATACCTGCGTATTCTTACTTTACAGAACCATATCTATACACATGCATACATACAGACATTGACATGGGAGGGAAATGGGCATGCATGGATAATAACTGCTGTTTTCTGAGAGGGGTATCATATCTTTTCCCTCTAACTTGTCAAGGTAGCACTAAAGATTATCAGTCTCTCACAGGTATCAATCTAGGTTCAACAAAGGATTTAATTCTCTAAGCACTAGCTGTTACCATCCAACACCCAGGGCCAGAGAGCCTACGAAGCTGACATGAAGCACTAGCATGACCTGTGCAGTCCATAAAGGAGTCCAGCACCTCAGACTGGGACAGAGGGAAGGCCTGAGAGGTGTCCGTGAACTCCCAGAAGCAGCTGCAAGAGGCATTACATCTCTTATGAGCAGGTTTCCTAGACACGAAGCTGCCCCAAAGCTATGCTGGGTAGCTCTG